TGCACAGCAGTGTTAGTGGATAGTAAGAACTTGTACTCCTTCAGGAGAGTCAACAGCACAAGCAGTGCACGTGCAAGAAGCAAGGATGAAGGACTATTACATTATTTTCTGCAAATGTATAAGCCTTTCTCAAGAGGGATTGAGTACTGACTGTTGCTTATATTCAAAGAGATGTTTACAGGAAGGAAGAAAACCTTATTCTTCTGCTGTTCAGACACAATAGTGTCTGAATTATATATTATGTCTAATACACATTATATCTCAAGTACTGTATCTCACTTGCTCTAAACAGAAAAGTGACTGAGAAAATTGATGTTTCCTGCAACAGCTTAAGTACTCAGAAAACCTTGTCTACTGAAGGCTCATTTATTTGGCTTTCTATCCTGAACAAAAAATATGACAAACCTTTTCCCACAGGAAAACACTTAAACACAGGGTAACACACAGCTCCCAGCTTCCAATATTTTTCTCCCTTTCCAGAAGAAGGGGATTCCTCTGGTCAGCAGTAGTTGTGTACAGACATGGTAGGATGAGGCTCCTTTCTCTAAAACAAGAACTAATTTCTCCCTGTGGATAAGGAAGAAAGTTAAGGTTATGAGTTCAGATGTAGATTTTTTTTTTTGTAATGACTGAAGGAGGCTGAATTTCCCCTGTCCACCCTGCTTCTGGCTATAGGCATGCCTGTCTTTCCTCGGCACGGCTGTGTTGTGCAAAGGCAGTGTTGTTTTGCTAGTGGGGCTCCCCTCCGCTTCTTCTCTTGAAATTTGCTACTGCAATGGACCATAAACCCATTTCAGGCTAAACACATTTGAAAAAAATACCCTCTTTTTTTTTTTTTCTTCTTCGTGAAAGGCAGTGGAGTGTATGAGCTGCTTTGCATGGGAGAAGTCTGGGACCCACTGAGGTGGATGCCAAGAATCTAAGGGTGAGCCAGGGTCAAAACTGTTCTTGTGGAGACAGGACCTGTGACCAGGGCACAGGGCTACCCTGAGGCAGCAGCCACAATACAGGCCCTGTCAGTGGAAGAATGTCTACCAATGACACAGGGAAAAAAAGCTGAGAATGATCAGTATTGTTTCTAGGGATTTCTCTTCGTCACATGAGAAAAAGGTAAGACAGAAGCTTTTGGTGTTGGTTCCACTGTTCTGACAATAAAAATGAGAAATAATTTTCATAGAACTTGAAACAGGAGCAGAGTAACCGGAACAGGGAGAGGGCCCTGAGTGAGTGACTGCGTGTATTAGTTCCCTTCTTTGGCAAAAACTGAAGACAATCTGTCCTTCTTAAAAAGGTCCAAAAGCCTACTTAAAAAAATCCCATGCTGAGGCTGAACTTAGTACCGAGTATATGAAGTGAATTCCTCCATGTGGAAAAAATGGCACCCAGCTACATTCATCAGCACTTGCTGAACGTTTATGGAGAGCAACCAGTGGATGTGAGCACACTGAGACAGCAGGAGGTGTGTTTCAGCAGTAGTGATAGCAATGTAAAAGACAAGCCACATTTTGGATGGCCACAAAGATTGTACAAGCGCTGGGTGCAGGCTTTTTTCATTGTTGGTGACAATGCATAGTTAGTAGTGGTGACTACATTGTAAGATAGTGCTTTGTAGTTGAGAATTTTCTCTATCAAATAGCATTATTGTGCTCTTTTTATCCTTTGTAGTTTCAATGAAAATAAATAGGAGGAATTACTTCTGGAGTGACCTATGTGTATATATGGCTTTTTAACTAGTATTACATAAAATAATAAAGCTACCAATGAAAATGAAACTGCAACTGAACTAGTGAGAGAGTTCATTTAGTGCACTGACAGCACATTTTTTACTGCGCTAAAAAAGATCGAGGTAGTTTCAGTGCACTGAAACTACTTATTATTTAAGTAATTTGTGAAGGTATTGTTAAGGAAAGAGAAAAATATATGCATAAGTCAGTGAAAATGCTTTCACAATATATAAACAAAGGTTTTGTGAGGGAATTTTTTTTTCCACTTGAAGTGCTCACCTGAAAATTGGACATATTTATGTGTACTTATGTGTCTCCAAGTTTTAAAATATTCTTTCTCCAATCAACCTGTCTCATTATCATTCTTCTCATCAAAGTCACTAATCTTTGTGATGCTACAGACATCCACAGTCTTGCCACTGAAATCTCAAGGAATTGTAAATCAAGATCTTTCTTTCACTGATACGTATTCCAGCATAATAATATACAAGGTTTTTATCAGTTTGGGTTGGATGCGTACCCATGTTTAGGCATCCTTGAAATAAGAGTGGGGAAAAAATTATGTGTTTGTATTTGCGCTAAGCCAACAAAGGCCACAGCTGTGATCTATGTTCAGAATAGGCTTGGAAAACTATGACTTAATAAAGAATAAGATCCTGGTTCCTCTAAATAATTATTCTGTTGCATTTAAATGCGATGTTTCTACTGTTTGGGGTAGAAAAAACACAGTTTTGCTTTCCTTTAAAATAATAAATTTACATTGCAAAACATTGATTAGGGCTTCTGTGACAAACTGCTGCTCATACAACTTTCAAAACATTCTGGCTATAGCACCACATAGCCTTTGACGTGCCAAGATTTCTTCTAGTGTTCTTGTCGGAGCCAGGTGCTTGACTTCAGAGAGCACTAGAGGGCAGGCTAGCCTTGATATTCCCCCCTCCCACCTCCTCTGCCCCCACAATGAGAAATAAAAGTAATTAAGAAGTTTGCAGTTTTGCTCAGAAATATGATTTAGAAGTAAGAATGCCTCACACTGTGCCTAAAACCTTTAACAGAAATTAGGCAACTTCACAAGTAAGATTTTTTTGCTTTCATTGGGAAGCCTTATTTTCTGTTGCACGCAATAAAGAGCTGTGTCAGGAAGCAGAGTTGAGACACAGCTACATGCAGCCCTGCTCTGTCCAAGCTGCTCTCATGGTGTATCAGCTCCCCTATCTGCCCAGTACCGTTGCTGGTGGCCCCTGTCTGCTTCAGAGGAATCAGTGCACCCTCCCTGCACCCTGTTCCTGCTCTGGTTCATGGTCTTGCCTCTTCATTGGCCTGCTATCCCTTTGAGGGAGCTGGAAGGGTTCACATTGATAACTGAAATTCATTCTATTGCTTAGAAATCCTGTTTAACTTCCCTACTGTATGCTTGGGTAAATTTACATCTGACTCCCACACGATCTAGTGGCATCTACAGGTGATTTTATTCCACAGATTCAAACACACTACTTGTGCTATAAATGAGCTTTCCTGATTCTGGAATCTTGCTTACTTCTGGTCTGTGCACTGAGCAGAAAGAGGCAGGGAGCGGGGGGCTGCAGAGCCAAGGCATCATATCCGTCCTCTGCAAGGAACTGCTGCCAGTTCCTCAGTTCTGCAGAACCCACTGACACATCCCAAGATCATTCCTGGTGCCATGATTTGATCACTTTCCTCTATGTGACCATTCATTGGAGTGCTCTGTTAAGGGTGAAACAGCTCAGCCTGGTGGCACTGGGCTGTTGACTGGGATAAAAGATGGAAGTGAATTAATTAGTCCTGCAGCAGTTCACACAAGAGTCACAGAGTTGAGCTTTGATGGATATATGTGTTTTTTGTTAGCTCTCAAATATTTTCTTCATTTCTTATTACTTATCACTCAGATTAACCATACACCTCAAATTACCAAGTAAATTTTAAGCTTCTTAATGGTATGCTTATATATAATTTGAAAACAACATACACAAACTGTTTAGGAGTTGTCTTAGGCAGTTTTGATAATTCCTTGGTCTTGCAGCATATTTCTCAGCACACTGCCAATTCACAAATGCCTTTCACTTACAGATTTCTTCCAGGCCATCTGAGGCAAAGTTTATCCCTAGTATATCACAAATTATTGAACGTGTCTGATCTTCGGTCAGTGTAGAAGTGTTCTGTGTTATTATTGCTATTATTATTATTATTAGCAGCAGTAGTAGTATAGTAGTAGTAGTAGTAGTAGTAGTAGTTATAGCAGTAGTAGTAGTAGTAGTTTCAAAGTGTATTACCTGATTTTTTATGGTTTGCATTGCAGAATTTCATAGTGTTACTCAGTGTAACTGGACTACCAACATCCTTTTCAATTTTCCCATATAAAAGCATAACAATTTACATGGTGGCAAGCAATATTAACAAACTTGTATAAAGCCTAATAAGTGCCCATATTCTGAGAAGTGCAGTGAACTACATTGTCTTCTCCATCACAGTAGTGAGGGTTTGAGTAAAATGAAAGGAGTCATCACTTTGTGTGCTTTACTTCTTGGGAATTTTCCTTTTGTGTAGAATAAATCCTGAGTTCCCCGGATAAACAGAATTTTAGATGAGTGTCAGCCAACCCAAAACACCTTTAGCACTGTAGGATTGTGCTATCTGTCTGGGAGAAACTCACTGGAGGGAGTTTTCTTGAAGCTTTCAGTCTTTGCCTGACCTTGTGTTGCTGTTTTTTTTTTTGTTTGTTTGTTTTGTTCTGTTTGTTTTGTGTTTGAAAACCAAGGAGATTTGCTGTTGATGTGAGGGGCGCTGCCCTATTCCAGAGCTGATGCCCTGTGTGATATAGCATGCTTTTATAATAAATGTCTTGTGCTGGTAGATACGCTTATCACAACCTGAACAGAGGTGTGCTGACCCAGAGGAAGCTAAGGAATATGGACATTGCTTTTCCTGGCTAAGGAAAAATAAAGAGGGATGAAAGAGTCAAAAATTTCCAATTTTCCTTCTAACATTTACACAGTATCAGTGCTGACTCATGGTTTGTGCTCCAAAATGTGTTGGCTATAGAAATAAAGATCAAAAGAAGTGTAGAGAGCACATGTGGAAGTCCATTGGAAGTTGTGTAAATGTGTCTATTGCTTTTGGATCTGGCCTCAAAGGCACAAATTGTGATCATCAGCCCATTTGTGAGCTACTTCTGCCCAGACTTACTCTGTCACAAGAACTGAGGGCTGGACGGGACAGCTGACCACTGCATTTATTTTCTTTGTTGCATCACAAAGAGGAATTTTGTCCTAGCCAGTTGCCTCAAGGATCTTATGGTAGATTTGTAGTTGCATCCTGAAATTTTGTACAAAACCATTTAATATGTATGACTTCCTTTGTGGACAGAGTGGCATGTGCTTTTTTGTTGTTTCAGTCTACAGGGATGGGATGAAGCTCTCACTGTCATGGCATATGAATACAAAAGAATAGGCTGGACTTAATGAATGGCACTAGAGTTTACAGCCATAGCACCGAGAGGCACAAATTGGACATGAAGAAGAATTTAAGAAGAATTTCTACTTGGAAGGAGAGGTAATGCATTGGAACTGGCTGCCCAGGGAAGTGGTGGAATCATCGTCTCTGGAGACTTCAGGAAATGGGTAGATGCAGCAGTGAGGGATGTGGTTAGCAAGTGTGGTGTGGATGGGCTGATAGTTTGATTGGATGATCTTAGAGGTCTTTCCCAACCTTAATGATTCTATGATTCTATGATTGTAGGGTTCTGAGGTTCTATGACTTAAGGTTTAGGACTTAAATAGTCCTGTTTAGGGTTTATATATTTGAGGGCTTAACAATGGACAGACCTGCATCTATAAGGCTGAAGGACCAAAAACGCTGAAAATTTTATCCTTAGCTGTTTTACCCTCATCTATTGAATTTTAGTCCATCTGAAAACCAAGAGTTTAGTTTTACACTGCTTAAAAAAAAGAAAGAAAGAAAAAAAAAAGCCCAGGGCCTGTAAAATGCTGGAGGCAAAGGCTGTTTTGTTGGTTTAATATACGGTGATGCTTTGTTATGTCATCTGAACCATACAGAAATTCTTCTGTAAAAGCCCACATTTGTATTTAAAGGTAACATACCTTTCAATGAAACATTTAGGAGTGTGCTTAACTTGCCATTTTTAATGAGAGTTCACCTCATCCTTGTGTTGCTCAATTGAATATATTCTTTACAGCACTGGAACATTAGAGAGTTTGTGAGAATATGTTATGTTGAACAAGCTCACACTACATACAATATAGCATGTAGTAAATAGTATATGTATATAATGGATAACAGTGGAGTGTAAATCATGTTATCTGTATTTTATCCCTTTCATTTCATGTTATGAAAGTTATTTTTTGGATTAGTTTTCCAAATTGTCACTAATCTAAAAGCATGTATGGATTTCACTGGAATATACTTTACAAGTGTTTACAATATTGAGTCAATATCCCTTCTCTCACGAAGAAGTAATAAGGAAATAAATATGTGAGCAGGGTTGTGGTGAATAGGTCTGGTTGACTTCAGTTCCTGTACAGTTATTCAATCTTGTATTTTTTTTTCCTCGATATGAATACAATCATTCAGGGTGAAGAAGTATCTCTTATTCAGTGAATTTAACCTAATGCACACAAGTTATATGTGAATTGTACACTCATAAATTCATCTCACTATCTCGAGTCTGATTTCTCTGTAAAGTTAAAATTACAGATTTGATGTCAAAATTACTCATGAAGTCAAACTACAGGACTTTTAATTTCATTCCTTAAAATACATGTTTGCATAACACTTATTTTACAAAGTCGATTTCTATTATACATACTTTTTTTAGTGAATATTTCCATGTAGGAAAATTAGATAACGTCCCCAGTATAGGATTGTAAGTTTGGACTATATTTTCTGAAATTAGTATGAACTATGTACTGAATGATTTGAAGCAAGCTGGTTAAATAGGATATCATAGAATAAATATAAAATGTGTACTTCTGTACTTATATGGATGATTTTCTTCAGGACAGATGTTAATCCAAGGCTGAAGCAGAGCAGCTGACCTTCCGCGTACCTCCATGTTGCTGAAATATTGATTGATTCAGGAGCTAATCTGGAAAGTGGTGGCTTTGATCTTAAAAAAAATTACTCACCCTCACTAAAATACACAAAAGAGGGAATCTTAGGGTCTTGTCCCAACAGATGTGTAACATAGAATATGAGTGATTGTTATAAGAGTGTGTTTGATAGTTTTACGATAGCTTATCTCCACACATTCTGACTGTGTGGGAGGTAGGCAGCCAGTGAGGAAGCCCAGTGAGACCTCCTTCTAAAGATGACACCCATGCTTCATCTGAGGGACCAGTGTGAGGACAGCAGAGCACTCCAGGTGGGACATGTGATAATGCCACATATAGTATGACTTGATTAGCAAGAACTCAAACTAAATTGAACTTCTACTGTTTATAAATTTGGCAACATGGAGTTTCAAGCACAGACTAACCAAGGCAATTTGTGCACTTTCTACATGATGCTTCAGCAGTGACTCAGGCCTCTAATAGATGTCACTGGTAAGGATCAGAAATATAATTATCTTGAGGATAATTAACTCTCGATCATTCTGAGCATCAGTCCTTCTGTTAAAAAGAGGTTAATGATAACAAAACAATCTTGGATGAATGAATAGATCTCTCTGCAATGTTTAATGAAAGAATGGTATTTGATGAAGAGAACTGGTGTGAGAACAAACACATTTTTAAGTATGAAGTAAAGCTTCATTTATTATTTTCTCCCAAAAGGAAGAATGGACATTTTGTTGTCAAAATTTTTAACAAACAATATCTGTAGAAGTTCTAAAGACTCGGAATGGTATCATTTTTAATAATGAGCCATGTTTTATACTTAAAGTTTTACAGAAAATGACAATATATTTTTTTTACTATTGTCTGTAACAGAGTGGAAATACTATTTTTTCCTCAGAAAACAACAAACACAAACAAACCTTTTTCTCCATAGCCACAGTATTTAGTATTGGTAACATATTTTTGTGTGTCATATCCTTAATGCTGTGCTATCCTTAGTTAGAAAAGTGCATCATTATAATAAGAAGTAAATTTTACTGTCTCCTGATTCTCTTATGCTTACAGAATTCAAAGAATGACCTTGAAAGTACCACTTCTTCTCAGAATGATATGTAACTTTACCAGAGTGACAGAAATCCTGTTCTCTCCTGTTTCCAGAAGAAATCTTATTTTAGTTTCATTCATGTTATACTGTTTCCATAGTGACTGAAATTTTTATTTTAAGTACTGAAGTTTTAACACAAGGCCCTACACAGTTTTGCTAAAATGCACTATTCTGTGTTAAATTACTGTCTGAAGGACTCACCTGAGTTGGGAACACCACTGTGCATTGGGAACTGTGAAAACACTGTGGGCTAAATCCTGGCCCATTAAAGCCAGTGGCAAGAATCCCATTAACTGCAATGGAGCCAGGAGTCATGTTTCACCCACAGTGAGAGACAGTACTTGTCTCAAAACTCTGGACCTCACCACTCTTGTGCTTTGGCAACAGAGTCCGGAAACCTCTCCAGCCACCCTGCACAGGATAAGTACTTCAAGAAGTTCCTACCAAGTGGGACTCAAAACCCAATCAAACAAAAACATGAGGATGCAGCCTGTGTAACTGCCCAAGTCCTTTTGTCTTTTTTCTGGAACTCTTCACCAACCCCTCAATTTTTAATTGAAATCTGTAAAACGCCAGATTCATTATTGTCTTTCCATTATGCTTCCAGGCAGAGGCTAAGACCGTCATACGTCAATGCCTGGTATCGACAGCACTAGACAGATAGATAGTTCAAAAAACTATTCTTGCTGTTTTTTTTTTTTTTTTTTTTTTTTTAATTATTATTATTCAAATAAATTCAAATCAGCACTTCCTGCATTTTTTATCTCCTATTTTACAAATACCTTCACCATGGGAGTTTCCCAAGATCCTAAACTCTGTAATATTCTGATTGTAAAGCTTTCAGTGTCCTCCATGTCTAGATAATTCTAGACTTGGAAGTCAGAAAAGTCAGGAGTTTTGTTTGCCACCTTCACATCATGTCTTATACTGGGATACAAGGCTTGTAGAAGAAGCCTTCTAGAGGATTTGTTTGAGGCTTGGTCAAAGAAAGGAAATGTTTGTGTATTTTCCCTCCATCTTGTCTCATGCTTCTCCTGAACCAACATATTTCAGGGAAAGAAGACTGATTCTACTGCAATTATGTATACAGAATGGCTGTTTCTGTCTTAATAAAGTTGTTTAGATGTGAGACACAAAGAAATGACAGTATTGAAAAAAAATGTTTTGCTATACTTCTGTCAAATTTTTTATTGACTGAGGTTAATTTAAATATAAGCAGGCTTATAAGAATGTTATATCTACTGTTTCAGTCAGAAAATCAGCCAGGTTTTTGAGTACAGAAGATAGGTGGCTATGAAAGCTATTTTAAACATGATATTGCTCTTCCCTGCAATGCTTGCCTTGTATATAACCTAAGAGCTTCTTGTGTACTAGTTAAATACTGTATTCTGCCTGTCCGTATATATATTCTTTCTCATGAAGTTCTCCGAAAGACCATGAAGAACTTGTAACTCAACATTTAACATATACAGTGATACCGATGCATGTTTTACTGCAGAAATAAACAGGCAAGGCTGTAGAATATCTAATCTAGTTTGAATTGCAGGGGATCAAAAGCAAGCTAAGTGCTCTTTTGACTAATATATTTTGCCTGATCTATATTGTGTCCCATTTCAAAGCCTGGGAATTGTGAAGTTTTAAAAGAATGGATTATTGAAAGTTTTAAAACTGTTTTTTATCACATCTTATTCTGTCACCAGATTTCATATTTCATTAGGCTTCTCCACATTTCAGTTCCATCATTGTTCCCAGACTTCAAGGGAAAAAAGCCAGAGAAGACTGAGAAACATAAAAGGAAAATATGAACAAAATAACCATCTAAAGCCAAGTGTTGGTGGGAGGTGCTATGCATAATAGGGTAATCCCATGCTCCTGCAATAAAACAATCACATGATAGAGGATAAAGAAGAGTCACAAATAATGGTGGGAAAGTCTTCTATAAAGAACTTCAAGAACAAATGTAATTACCAAAGACATTATTAACTGTGGGGAAAAGCTCTTTGACCAGCCTTTCATATGATTTAGAATGTTTACCAATAGTGCATACACAATTCACCCAGCCAATTAAAAGCAAAGGCTATAAAAATGTTAGCAGAGGGAGGGAGCAGGCTGTGTGTTGTGCCTCAAAGAGCATTTTGGTAGTGCTGAGGAATCTTCTTAATTTACTCAAGCATGATTCATATTTGTGCCCAGAGCTATGTTTAAAGCAGCCTTGCCAACCTGCATTGCCTCAGTCATTGTAGCATATTTTTTCCAAGTCTTCAATCAATCTGCCCAGAGCAAAATGACCTAGATGTGATGTGTTCTCCCTGATCCCAGCATCATCACCTATGAGAAGACCTCACAAAATGCTATTCGGTGCTCTCTTTCATAGTTTCTGCATCACGTTTCTCATAGAAAGAATGGTGGCTTTTTATGGATGATGGAGACCATCCTCAACTCTTCTGGTTGGCATTAGAAGCCAGAGCAAGGTTTTAGCTATCAGACCACTGTGAGTCCATTGTCTTGGCAAACAGGTAGCAGACACATTTGCATGGTGACTCTATTTTGTCATGCCATCAAAATCAAGGAAGAGCAAAAAGACAAAGGAATTTTCTATTGGCTGAATGTTAAACTCTTATAACCACCTTGTATGAAAATAATCTGTTGGTGCTGAGGGAGTCCATTAACAACACAGGAGGGTAACTTTCTAACTCGTTTTCAGACTACAAAGTCTCCAACCTTCTACAAAGACAGTGCCACATCTCTTCAATAGGAAATCTGCCTTAAAACATCAAAGGGCTCCTTATGAGGGACTTAGGACTGGTTTGCATATCCCTGAAGTATTCCATCATGTTAAGACCTGTGTTGATATGATAAGGGAAATGTTAGTTTTTACTAGCTAGAAATTGTACTTTTATTTATATCATAGTGTCACAATGATATATGAATATCTTTGCAAGTCTAAATATATATATATAGGAGGATTTTTATTTTTACTTTTAACTGTGACAGTCTAAAAGACTCACTGTCATAATCAGAAAGAACTTAGCAATAAGGAAATGAAGTCACAAGCCAAATGAAGTTGCATCTGAGACAGAAAGAAGATGTTGCTTATGAAGTATATACTAACTGGGAATCAAAATACTGTCTTAGATCTCAATGGCTAGAAATCTGGCAGCTTTATCATCGTTCTCCAGTTTCCTTCAAAGATGGTGTCCATTTCTGATTTTAAAATGTAAATCCTATTTAATATTAGCATGAATGAGATGAGTATCTTCATGGATGAATTGTTCCACATAGCCTAGGGCTTATTTCTGTTCTAAACTTCAAATCCTTTTACAGTCCTATTAGAGAGCTGACTATACATAAAGTTCATTGTTTGTGAGCTACAAAGAGATGCCTATTAGTTCATAAAACAAAACCATTTTGAACTCTGTTGAATATCCTTCAGCAGAAGCAGATTCTCAGAATGATGATTTGTCACTTCAAAATGATAAGTGGACCTGGGAAACCACTGTGGTGCTTTTAAGAAGGAGCTCGTTTCAGAAGTTGCTGCTTATTGTTTGCAAAGAGATACAGCTTATTTGGAAAAAGCCTCTTGTGGTTCCTTGCAAAGACCCTGCACACAAGACTGAAAATCCGGACTGCTGCCAGTACTTATCTGGACAAGTCCATTATTTTATCTTAGTGTGCAATCACACAAAGTGAGAGAAAAATACACACAGAATTTTAGGAGTGCTGAGCCCACATGAAGTAAATTTGATATTTTGGCAGTAAACGTCCAATCCTCCAGCTGTGCCAAGTCAAGAAAAATGCTAGAGAAAAAAAAAAAAACAACAAATTGCATAATTAAGTCTTTTTTCCCTTTCCTTCTTTTCCTTTTCCTTCTCCTCTCTTTCCTTTTTTTTTTTTTCCTTGCCTGTCCTGTTTCCCTCCTTCTCTCCTTCCTTCTTTCCTCCCTCTCTCCCTCCCTCGCTTCCTCCCTTCTTTCCTTCCTTCCTTCCTTCCCCACCTACCTCCCTACCTTTCTTTCTCTGTTTTCATTCTTTCCTTGGAGACTTCAGTTATTCTCTCTTTTTCTCTCTTCCTCTCTCTGCTTGGTAAGCTGCTTTGTTTTTATTATATTTTTTTTCCAAGTGAACTTTCTTGCTAAACAGGTTTGTTTAAGTTCTCACCATTCTACTGATTACTAACAAAACAGTCCAGCTATCAAATGCCAAGCAGAGTAAGAGTTTTACAGTCGGGAAAGGGAAATGAGAATGCAGCGCTAATATTTATTTTATTACAATTGATATTACATTGTCAACGCTGTTAAATGTCTCCTGCTGTTGGTACTGTCATTTCAGTTGTGGATCCTCCCCCTTTGCTTCTTACATCTTGTGATGTTCCTCTTTCT